CTATACAGGCCACCCCCCTGTAAAACAGGACTATACAAGATAGTACCAAGGGGAGAAAGCTTTTCTATTTCTTTTTTTTTTTTTTTTTTTTTTCTTTTTTTTTTTTTTGTTTTTTTCCGTGTCCGGCAACAGATCGCAACCCTCAGTGTCGCCCCCGTACCGGACCGGGACCGGCAACGGGATCGCAGCCCTAGGTGTTGCTCCCGCGCCTCGCTCAGCCAGTGAGCGGGAACCGGTCTGCATGTGGGATCCGAACCCTCGGCGGGAGTGCCGCCGCGCTTCCCAAGCGGTGCACTATAGCAGTGCGCCACCGGGTCGGCCCGAGCTTTTCTATTTCTAATTTAAAGTATCATTATAACTATTAATAAACTAAATGGATGCATAATTCTTTAATGTCTTGTTGCAGTTATCCTTTTAACTGTAATTTTAATAATACTAACCTCAATTACAGCATCATTACTAGAATACTGAGCCAGGTCTCGAATCCCATTCATGAACTGTTTATTTGCAACACAAAAGGCTTTTCCAGTATCAATCATTGTAATACAAAGTTTCACAAGCTGAAAAAGAAAAATTTACATCAGGTTGAAAATAACTTTACAAATGACTTGAACAAGTGTTAGCAGTAACCACAAGAGTTAACTTAGGTGAGATAAATTGTTTCAACGATAAACCCAAAATATATTAATTGAAAATTATTCCTTTTTCATTTGGTTTATAAAGTAAATTCATAGGACAGCTATACTGAAAACGTTGACCTTTCAGGATCAAGGCTGTCTGACAACAACAACAAGCCATTTTATCAAGTCAAATTCAATCCCATAAATTAACTCCATAAAAATTTTAAAAGCAGCTCCCAGAAGAAAGAAAGGGTAAGCAAGCAATATGATAAAAAGACATTTAAATTTTATTTAAAACTGTGGTATGCTGAAGGAAAGGTAAGTAAACTGGTGTGGTGGGTTAGTCATGCTGAACATTTCAATATCATTCTATCAAAGCAGATGACTGAATTTACTAATCCACCACTTATTTAAAGAAATACTTCTCCAGTGCCTACTGTTCTAGGTATTGTGCTAAGCCTTAGGACTGAGTTTTTCTTTCTTTCTTTCTCTCTTTCTTTCATCCTTCTCTTCCTTCTTTGCTTTCATTCCCTTCCTCTCTCCCTTTCTTTTTTCCTTTCCTTTCTTCATTTCTTTCTTCTTTCTTTCCTTTCTTTCATTCAGACACAGAGCATTTTTTTAAACAAAATCTTGAGTGAATGTCAAATATTAAAAAACAAACAAAAGTGGAGCTGCTATAGATGAAGGATGGAAAGGTATAAAAAGGGGTGGCCAGGGTGGACACCAAGAAAAGGATACAGAGCTGAGAAAAACTTGAGAAAACTCCTAAAGGATCTCAAGAGTATAATTTAAAACTGTTGCTCTAAGGTCTAGAGGAACAGAAATTTAAAACATAATCTCTGCTCTCAAGGAGCTAATTATAACCAGTAGAAAAGCAGATAAATTTCGTAGAGCACAAACACAACAGTTAGAACAAAACCATGCATGAGTGAACAAAGACCACCTAGCCAGGACTGTGGAGATCAGGGAAGGATTCCTAGAAAAGTTAACACAAGATATTGCTAAACTTTTAAGAGTTTTTGGTATATTAATACGCACCCAAGAGAGGAGGTACAATATGCAGTGCTTCCCAAAAATATTTGACCATGGAATTCTCTTCAGAGGAAACCTTCTCATTTGACCAATGTTCCACAAAACCCACTATGAGAAATGCTGACAGAAATAAGCCTTCCAAATAGTTTGCTATTCACAAAATAAAATAAAATAAGATGTCTTGCCATAAGAATTAATTCTAAAGTTCACATGGAATAACCAACATGCAAGGCAAGCAAAATAATATTTGAAAATGAGGTGGGAACATTAGTCTATATGATATAAACATATTGTATAAAGGTGCAGTAATTAAAAGTCAGGTAGTAAATGTGAATAAACAAACTGATCAACAGCATGGAATTCAGAGTCAAGAAACAGATACAGATATGCAGTATTTGATTACAGTAATATTCCAGTAAGTGAGGGAAGAAATTATCCAATAAATGACATCAGGGACATTGAATAGTCAACTGAAGGGGAAAAAAGAAAGAAAGAAACTAAGTTGGATTCCAAGCCCCAAATTAATTTCAGGTGGAATAAAGATTTAAACATGAAAAATGTCCAGGGTTTGATTCCTGTACCAGCCAGCTGCACCGCCGCCCCCCCCCCCCAAAAAAACCATAACATAAAAAATGAAATCAGCAAACTAGGAGAAAACAGGTTTTTGTTTTGTTTTGTTTTTTAAAAATAATCTCAAAGTAGGGGGGGAAAGGGCTTTCTGAGAAGAATACAAGCCTCAAAAGCCATAGAAAAGAAGAAATTGATAAATATTTTTGATAAAAATAAAACATTTCTGGGGCCGGCCCGGTGGCGCAATGGATAGTGCGCCGCTTGGGAGGCACGGCGGCGCTCCCGCCCGAGGGTTCGGATCCCACATACAGACCGGTTCCCGCTCACTGGCTGAGCGAGGCGCGGGAGCGACACCGAGGGTTGCGGTCCCGTTGCCGGGCCCGGTCCGGGGCGGGGGCGACACCGGGGGTTGCGGTCCCCTTGCCGGTCCCGGTCCGGTGCGGGGGCGACACTGAGGGTTGCGATCCGTTGCCGGACACGGAAAAAAAGACAAAAAAAAAAAACATTTCTATAAGAAAAAAACAATAAATGTAGTAAAAAGACAACAATATGGGAAAACAATATTACTAACAAATCACAAGGGACTAATTTCTCTACTTTAAAGGCATACAAATCATTTTGAAAATCCAACCATCTACTAGAAAAAATTAGTGACAGACACATACAGAGAATTCCGAGAAAAAAAAAAAAATCCATCTTCAACCCATGGAAAGATATTTAATCTCACTCATAATAAAAGAAGCAGAAATTACTATTTTTTATAGAACAGCAAAAATCAAAAAGTTTGATAACATGCTGTTTTGGAAAGGGTAGGTATGGGGAAACAAGCACTCTCATACATTGTTGGCAGGAATGCAAACTGGAAAAATTTCTATAGGAGGCAATTTAGCAAGAGCTATCAAAATTTAAAACACACATACCCTCTAATTTAGCAATTTCACTTTTAAAAATGTATCATGCAGATATATTTACACATAAGCCTCATGACACGTGTTTTCATTGCAGTCACAGTAAAATATCAGTAGCAATCTAAATGTCCATCAGTAGACAACTGGATAAATAAATTAGGATATATCCATACAATGTAATACAATTCAGCCTTTAAAAAAAATGTGAGACAGCTCTGTAATTAGTAACAAATAACATCATCCAAAATATATTAGGAGAAAAATCAAAATGTGGAACTGTTCTAATATTTTTGTTGGAACGAGGAGAGTCATTTGCACTGAAGAGTACAAATACATATAATCTTCTATATGTTTAGAAAATTCCTGGAAGGACACACAAGAAACTAGTCCAGTGCACTCATCTAGGAAAGAGATTAGAAGATGACTGATTTTCACTAAGTACACACTTTCTTACCTTTGAATTTTGTACTGCATCAGTGATATTATTCAACAAATTAAATAATTCAAAAATAATTAAAAGTTTCCATAAAAACAGAAAGAGTGGCAGATTAATAGTATAACATTATGGTTAAAAACACAGGGTTCTCAGTCTGCTTAAGTTCAAACCCTGCTCTGCTATACCATAAGCCTAAGTGACCTTAATTCAACAAACTTCCATTTCTTCTGTGTGATACACAGTAATGGCACTAAACCATATAAGGTTACTATAAAGGGGCAAAATAATGCACATAAAGATCTTAGCACAAACTGTCATTGGCACATAGTAATTACTCAATAGAGATTTGTGCTTCCTTGTAAAATGGGAGGTTTTCTCGGCTTTTTAAAGGTTTTTTAAAGAAACAAATTTAGTAAGAAACAAACTTGAACATCTTTATCTACTTAAGATATAGAGATGGTAGAGAAGGGAAAGGAAAGAGTTAACTAAAGCAAAGTCCTGAGGAGGTAGTGAGTTTGGAATTGCATAGGAAAAGGGATACTTTTATCACTCAAATGGGAGGAAAACAAAAAAGATAAGAACAGATTCAGTGAAGTTTCTAGATTGAGGAGCAAGAAATAAAGTCATTCTCACCAAGCAAAAGAAAAAGGCAAGGTCATCTGCTAAGAATAAAGAACAAAGTGGTAAATCTTGAGAAAACAGTGAAGTATTAAGAGCTGGGAAAGGTAACAAGAGAGAAACCTTGATTGGGTTTTGAAAAAATTACTTTGCATCAAGAATTCCAAGAATGTGTAGCTCCACCAATTGTGTAACTTCTCCTAGCCCAGATATGGGGCAGATAATATAGATGGTTAGACTTAACATAGTGAGAATTGTGTAGAGTAGGGAAATGAAGGTCCTTGAAGAGAAATAATAATGTAATAAAATTTAGACTGAAAGGGTTCATAGCATTATTATTCATAATAGCCAAAAAAGAGAAACAACCCAAATGTCCATCAACAGATGAAAAGATAAACAAAATGTGGCATATCCATACAATGCATATTATTCAGCCATAAAAAGTACTGATACGTGCTGCAATATGGCTGAACCTTTAAAACATTATGCTAAGTGAAAAAAGCCAGTCACAAAGGGCCAAAAGTTGCATATACCATTTATATGAAATGTTCAGAATAGGCAAATTCATAGAGACAGAAAGTAGATAAGGTTGCCAAAGGGAAGAGAAAGGGAGTGACTGCTAACAGGTATAGGGTTTCTTTTGGGGGAGATGGAAATACTTTGGAATTAGATAGAGGGATGGTTACACAATACTGCAACTATACTAAAAATCAGTAAATTATACACTTTGAAACGGGTTTTATGTTAGGTGAATTTTATCTCAATAAAAAAAATTACCAAAAAATGTACATGGAAGTGACTATAAGTAATCTGAAATATCACAAGTAGATGGATCGAAAGATCAGAGATCTAGGTAAGCTTGAGGAACAGAAGCAGTAGTGAGGCTGAGAACTGGAAGGACTGGAGACTCAAGTCAGAAAGTAGGATATTAGCATTCCAGATTTCAGAGATTAGAACTGTGAATGATGAGGCATAGAATATGGTCCTGAAAATAAGAATCAGAATCAGAATAGAGGTCACTATCACAGGAGTTAGAGAGAAAATGAAATGGCTATATTGCAGAACCAAATATACACTGAAGCTATCCAGGAGAAAGGACTGACTCGGTGATGGGGAGTGAGAAAGGGAGAGAAAAAGAGAGAGAAAGAGGGAGAGAAAGAGATTTTGCCAGCTGTCAAAATCCTTATTAGATGACGGTGATGAATGAGACTATAACTGAACAATATAAGCCTACAAAAATGGAAGATTTTTACCTAAGAGTAAGAGTGACTGTCAATTCAGTTAAAATCGTCAAACTAGTGGCCCTAATTCATTCAACAATTTTTTACTAAGTGATTACTATGTCATAGGTACTATGCCAGATGTTAGGAATACAACTTACTGACTATCCTTGAGTAGGTAACATTCTCTCTAATTCTCACTTTCTCATGTGTAAATTGATGATAATACAAACTGTACAACAATGTTGCAAAGGCTAAAAAAATATATAAGTAAAACATGTGACTTTGTACATAATAAGTGCACAACAAATGAGGGATTTTTTTTCTTTTAAAGGCAGCCTCTTGTCTTCAAGGAGCTAACAGTCTGTGGAAGAGAAAGCAGCATCATTAATTTTTATTTATAATTTACCATGTGCCTAGAACTGTGCTAAGCATTTTACATGCATTATCTCACCTTATTCTCATAATAAGCCTATGAGATAGATACTCTTATTTTCCCCACTTTGAAGATGAAGAAACAGAGGCACAGAAAGGCTGAGGACCTTGCCCAAGAACATACAGCTAGTAAGTCATAGAGCCAGATTCAAACCCAAGAAGCTCCAGGCTTTGTGCTCTCAACTACTAAGCTATGCTACAAACCAAAAATTGCAATATTATAATAGTTTAAATGGAAGTACATGCAAGAAACAATAAAATACAAGAAAAAGAGCCAAAGTTTGCTAGTACTTGAGCTGAGATTTAAAGCGTATCTGCTCAATAAACAGAGAACAAGCATACCAGTCAGAAGATGCAACAGATACAGAAATTATATCTAACGCTAGAACAACCAGCAGAATGCATAAATAATTGGACCCAGTAGAGCAATGCCATTCATGCAGCGTTATTCACCAGAAAGAATTTAACTACTGGTAACATACATTATAAGCAAAATAAATATAAGCTAAGTCATCAAGCTAGTTTAACCTGTCACTGGAATAATTTACAGTGATACTGTAGGTGGAACTTGCCATGCACAAAGTTATGAAATCACAAACTAGTCTTGGGGAAAGCCTTCCTCCCTATTAGTCCTTTAATGCCATCACCTTCAATAACAACCATTTCTTGCTCCTCTCAGTCTCTCTTCTCTATGTTAACTCTCCATAGCTCTAAAGTAAAAAATGACATAATTGCTTAAGAATTTGGGAGAGGTACATTTTATAAAAGATCAAGGTCTTAAAACAGAGAAATATAAAAGTAACTATAGAACTTTCGGGGGAAGAGGAAGATAGATGATATTTCAAAAGCTGTCAAGTTTCCACAATGCCCTTGGTAGTTCTTTGGGTAAGACAAACTCTAGAATGGGCTTAGAGTTTTCAGAACTGAATGGCAATTTATTAATAACTTGTTTTATTTTTGTTTATTTTTTGGCAGCTGGCTGGTACAGGGATCCAAACTTTAACCAACCAGCAAGCCCCAATAACTTGCTTTAGATTTTAATCTTTTGGTTTTAAGACTCTACCCAATGTGCCCCGACCCCAACCAAATGATATAAAGAAAAAAAAAAGAGCCATTTATAAAAGCAAAATCATGAGCTAAAACGTTGTCAGTGGGTTCTATTTGTTTAGGTACTTTAAATTTTGAGGTTCTCCTCACCCATGTTTCATATGATTTAAATGCAGTTCTACCCAAAAAGGATAGATATCCTTATTATACCACTCTGTGGTTCTTTTTTTAAAAAGCTTTGCCCTTCTATGTTGTCTACCTCAAGGGTTTAAAACTTTGTTTCAAAGAGTACTTGAAAATAAATGTAATAACTCACAGTAAAAATAAAAAAAATAATAATAAAATAGTAATAAAATGCCCATACATATAATATTTAAGTAGAAAATAAAGGAAGGTATTTGAAAATAATATTCTCACCCAAAATTAAAATGTCAACTTTTTATTTTATTTTTTTTTTTTTTTTTTCTTTTTTCCATGTCCGGCACCGGATCGCAACCCTCAGTGTTGCCCCCGTACCGGACCGGGACCGGCAACGGGATCGCAAGCCTCGGCGTTGCTCCCGCGCCTCGCTCAGCCAGTGAGCGGGAGCCGGTCTGTATGTGGGATCCGAACCCTCAGACGGGAGCGCCGCCGCGCTTCCCAAGCGGCGCACTATCCAGTGCGCCACCGGGCCGACCCAAAATGTCAACTTTTTAAAAACACTTGCCTGGAAGCTTGTTAGTGTTCCTCAGGAAATTTCGAAGTGGCATGTGCTCTCCCAACATGAATCCTGAAGTACAGTGGTGCACAAGAAGAGCACTGAACTAATAATAAAAACATAAGGGTTCTAACTCTGTTTCTGCCATGCCTAACTTTGTGATTTGAAGCAAGTCTCCTTTGCTTTCCTGGGCTTTGGTATCCTCATCTATAAAATGGGAATACTAACATTTGTCCTACCTACCCCACAGGATTGTTGTAAAAATCAAAAAGATACTATGTATTACATGGCTTTAAACATTATAGAATACTATACAAAAATAATTTATTACTAAATATTTTCTAAATTTTTGAATTAATTTGTTTTATATACCTAATACTACTGCTTCATGTTCTATACTATATGCATGCATATTATATACATACGTATGCATACATATTACATGAGTATGTATGTTTTGTGATTTCAAAACATTTGAAAACTCTCAGCCTAATTTTATATCCTTGCTACTCAAAGTGTGGTCCATGGGCCAAGAGCACGAGTATCACCTGAAATCTGGTTAGAAACACAGAATCTCAGTTACCCCTAGCTACTGAATCAGAATCTGTATTTTCACAAGATAAGATCCTGACGTGATCCCTATGCATAGGAAGGATTGAGATGCACTGCTTTACACAGCAATACCACTGACAATAATAACTATATAAGTAGGAAATTACTTTCAGACAAGGTATTTCAAATAGATGAATCTGACTTATCTCCAGAAATTTAGAGAGATATTTCAGTGAACAATGGTTACAGAAGCATATCTGAACAAATGAATCAGAAACCATGTCTTCTTACTCATTACAATATTTCTGCCTGGTATATAGCAGACAATGCTTCTTGGATAGACACACACACAAAAATTAACAATAATTAATATAGGAAGTGAAAATCAATGTACATTTACCTTTACATAGAATATAACCATATCAATTATTAAGTATATATTAAACATTTATAGCTTTAAAATGGAATAAACACTTTAATTGTATTTATATATGTACCTGGGCACACTCAAATTTATAAACAAGAATGGTCAGATTATGTATAAAATACATTAAGCATAAAAAAGAAGAAATTTTTTGATGGAGAAGACAAAAACAAATTTCGAATAATTTTTTTTAACTTTTGTACTGTTTTTTCTTTTTTTTTTTTTTTTTTTTTTTTTCCAATAATTTAAAGGACATTTAGTGAGCTTTGAAATCAGACATGGTTTTTACTTCCAATAATTTAAAGGACATTTAGTGAGCTTTGAAATCAGACATGGATTCAAATTCTTGCTCTGGCACTTTGACTTTGAACAAGCTACCTGATGTCTCTAGCCTTTATTTCCTCATGTGTAAAATCAGGTAATAACAGCACTTCCCTCATAGAGATTAAAAAGTAATGTGAACCACCTAGTATTATAGATACTAATTGTTATTTATAAAAAAAAAAATTAATGTTTTTTTGTTTGTTTATTTGTTTATTTGGCAGCTGACTGGTACAGGGAAGAATCCTGGACTGTGGTGTTATCAGCACCAAATTCCAACCAATTGAGCAAACCAGCCAGCCCGTAAGAATTAATGTTTTAAAAAGTTAAAAACATAAAATTTACCTTATCAAGCTTTAGTTCCAATTCTGACACATCTCCTTCTACTTCTTCCAAAGCAGCCCTAGAAAAATTAATTATAAAATAAGTTATTTCATTTGTTTCAATGTATAATTTACTCTTGAAAATAACTCTAATTGAAAAGATAGATATGGATGCTTAAAAATTACCCTTTAATCTTTTTGTAACAAGACTAATTTTTTAAAATTACACTTTACATAAAGAATTATATTAGAATGAAGTATGAATATTTTATAATTATGCAATACAACGGATAATACAATTATTGCTTAGGACAATGAGAAAACACATTAGGCTGATTTATTCAAACCATTAATATAATTCAAATTAATAACACTAATGAGAACAGTTAAGCTTTTTTTTTTTTTTTTTTTTTTTTTTTCGTGACCGGTAAGGGGATCGCAACCCTTTGGCTTGATGTCGTCCACACCGCGCTCAGCCAGTGAGCACACCGGCCAGTCCTATATAGGATCCGAACCCACGGCGGGAGCGTCGCTGCGCTCCCAGCGCTGCACTCTCCCGAGTGCGCCACGGGGCCGGCCCAAGCATATTTTTTTAATGAATAAGAAATTCTAAAAGTTGAGCCTTACAAAGAATCAGATTTCTAGACAAGAAAGCATGTGCAACCAAACAGCAAAACATTGCTGGGAACCAAAAGAAAAGCTTTTACTTTTAGAAACAGCTCAGAAAAATATTACCCTTGTTTAATGCATCATTTTGTTTCCAAAATATTTTTTAAAAATCAGCACCTAACACTAATAAAGTTGAGTCTCACTTCTTCTAATAATACAATTTTTTTTTTTTTTTGTCTTTTGTCTTTTTTCCGTGTCCGGCAACGGATCGCAACCCTCAGTGTTGCCCCCGTACCGGACCGGGGACCGGCAACGGGATCGCAAGCCTCGGTGTTGCTTCCCGCGCCTCGCTCAGCCAGTGAGCGGGAGCCGGTCTGTATGTGGGATCCGAACCCTCGAACGGGAGCGCCGCCGCGCTTCCCAAGCGGCGCACTACCCAGTGCGCCACCGGGCCGGCCCCCAATAATACAATTTTTATACAGAAAAATTAGCAAAGTTTAGATTATATAAAAAGCAAAAAATAAATAAGCCAGATAATCTTACTGACAAAAGGAAGTGATAAAATTATAGGACTAGTTAGCATTTAATATCATACTACAGGGCAACATCCCAAAATTGGAAATTTGCCTGAAACAAAATAGCAGCAACTAAAAGCTTTAAGGATAATAAGATTTCACACTTAAAAGCAATGGATAACAAAATGTAACTCATCTAGTTTAGGTCATCTGTACCATTTTCATATATCTACTTGATAAACTAGCAATTTTCCAATAGCTATCTTAAGAATTAAACAAAATTTATTTTAATCAGATAATAGTGGGGGACAAGCCACCCAAAAAGCTATTTTGAACAGTGAGTAAGATATTCTCAGTTAGGCAGCAAAGCTAAGATTCACCTCTGTATGACCTTTGAATAATCACTTTATCAGCTTGTGATTGTACTTCTCCATTTGGTAACACTTATTTTTAATAAGTTTTTAGATCTCCAAAATAAGAAAATAAATATACTCAGTAAAGAGATGCCTATTATAAAATGAGATACTTTATATATGGTCAAGAAAATGGGAGGTACTATATCTCCACAGCATAGGAATGAAAATACTTCTCCCCAACTAAAAGTTTGTCATTTTCTTTGGCAGTGTTTTTCAAACTATACATTGTTCCCTTAACCTAGGAAACATTTCCTTTCACATTTGCCTTTACTACATTCACCTACTCATCATTTAAAATTTAATTCACACATGAGAACAAATATATCTCTTTGTAATAGGCTGGAAGCTTGCCAATCCATTTTTAAGTAATTTTTAAAGCTAATAAAGGGGTTAAAGAAATAAGTTCAGACATCACCTCTCCAAGAGGTGGGTCCTCTTGGAACCTCTCTCCTCACCCACTCAGGCTGGATGGCATACCCCTGCTGTGCCCCTACAGTACCCGATGCCTATTTCTATCATTGCTCACTTTTCTCCCTAGTCTGAGCTCCCATTGCTTTGCAGACACTCAAAGTGTATGTTGAGTCAAAGAAGAAACTCAATGGTGTTTAGCTGTCAGATACTCTCTTCATTTACATTTTTAATCTATATTTAATTTATCTTGATTCAGTTTTCAATTTCTTTCAAGCAAAACAGTTGAAATAACCAGTTTAAGATTTAATCACTGCTTTCTACTAAACACATACTTATAGTTTGATAGAAACTTTATGGGTTTTTTGTTTTGGGGGGGTTGGCAGCTGGACAGTACAGGATTCGAACCTGTGACCTTGGTATTATCACCAACAATACTTTTAAAGAAAGGTATGTACAAGACAAAAAGTGTCTGTTTTCTACCTGCCATTTAAAAATATAGCCTTTTGGGCTGGCCCGGTGGCACACTGCTACAGTGCGCCGCTTGGGAAGCGCGGTGGCGCTCCCGCCGAGGGTTCAGATCCCACATACAGACCGGTTCCCGCTCACTGGCTGAGCGAGGTGTGGGAGAATCTGAAAGTTTTTTTGAAGGTCCTTCAATTCAATATTCCACCTTCTCTTTTTAAAAAAATCTGTCATTGATCTTCTAAGCTATATGTGAAAATTTGTGGCAACAGGCAAATAGCTAATGTCTAAGGTAGCCTTGTTCATTATTGAATATTTTTTAATATAAAAAGCATTTGGTCTTAGTTCAAATTCTGCTCCACTTATCTAAGCTTAAAATATTGAAGTTTTTCATCTATTAAATGAGTACAGAAATATCTATTTAAGAGTTGTAAAGATTAAATGAAGGACTGTCCAAATCATTGACCACAGAATCAGACACAAAGTACATGATCAGTTAACAGCTTCTTTCTCTCCTTTATCTCACCCCTGGCACTCTGAGATAAGTTTTGACTCCCCACTACTTCTACTCATTAAGGCGATAAAACCATTCTGGAACATGTGTTTAATAAATAAGTTAATAAATGAAATAAAGCAATCTATACAACAGTACTTCAAATACTGAATAACAGATATTATTTCTCTGCAACTCTCCCAAATATTTACTAAGCATATAACTTGTATAAATGTGCAAGGCATTAAAGATGCCAAAATTATAGTCTCCTAACCTCAATAGCTTAAAATTTTATAAAAGGAAAATCAAATTACACACACATTAACAATGAAAGAAAGAAAATATATGATTAAGAAGCAAAATAAGCAAAGCAGAAAATAAATAATAAGGGCCTTGTGTTAAAAGAAACGAGAGAAGAGAGAAGGCAATCAGCAGATATAAGAGTCAGTAAACTACTAACAGGAAGTCAAGTCTGGCCTGTAACCTGTTTTTATACAGCCCATGAGCCAAAATGGTTTTCACATTTTTAAGTGGTTGAAAAAAAAATTAAAAGAAAAATATTTTGTGACACAGGAAAATTACATTAAACTCCAATTTCAGTGTCTACAAATAAAGTTTTATGGGAACACAGACAAGCTCATTCACTTCCATATTGTCTATGGCAGCTTTCACAGCGTATCTATCAGCAAAGTTGAGTGGTCACAAGAAAGACCACAAGACCCACAAAGCCTAAAATATTTACTACCACGTGACCCTTTTCAGAAAAGATTTGCTGACCCCTATAAAGATCAGGTATAAGAACATGAATGAAATCCATTTAAGAAATACATAAAACAGGGCCGGCCTGTGGCTCACTCGGGAGAGTGCGGTGCTGATAATACCAAGGCCAGGGGTTCGGATCCCATATAGGGATGGCCGGTTAGCTCACTGGGTGAGCATGGTGCTGACAACACCAAGTCAAGGGTTAAGATCCCCTAACCGGTCATCTTTATTAAAAAAAAAAAAAAGAAAAAGAAATACATAAAAGAGGGCCGGCCTGTGGCTCACTCGGGAGAGTGCGGTGCTGATAATACCAAGGCCAGGGGTTCGGATCCCATATAGGGATGGCCGGTTAGCTCACTGGGTGAGCATGGTGCTGACAACACCAAGTCAAGGGTTAAGATCCCCTAACCGGTCATCTTTATTAAAAAAAAAAAAAAAGAAAAAGAAATACATAAAAGAAAATAAATGTTAGGACTTGAAGCTGAATAAGCCCAGAATTCAGAAAAACAGGCATTTTATTTTTAATAATAACAACACCTTCATTCTTTTACCTATTCTTGCACCACAGTTTTTTATGATCAACTCAGAAAACAGTTAAAACATAAAACTAGCACCAGCCAGCTGCCAAAAAAACAAACAAAAAATCCAGCAGCAAGTGTTAACACTGAGACACTTCTAATCACATAGTGTTCACTTTGGCTGTGAATTAAATGAAACTCTATGAAAAGCACAAAAATAGAACTCTCCCCGCCCAGATAATTGCTTATCCCTGGTGTAATAATAAACTTTTTACACTACTGTTTTTAAAAGAGTATTCAGGGGCTGGCTGGTCAGCTCAGGTGGCTAGAGTGCAGTGTTGATAACATCAGGGTGAAGGGTTCGGATCCCCATACCAGCCAACCGCCAAAAACTAAAATATAAATAAAATACATATGAAAACTTGAGCACAGTGTCTGACAGTAAATAATCAATGAACACCAACTGTAATTACGAGGATACTTCAAAACTTTCATGGAAAAATACAATTAAAAGAATACAAATATATTCATGATCTTTTTGGAGTACCCTCATATTTATAGTGTTAAAGAAAATACACAATCTTTTTGTCTTCATTTTATGGGGCCACACAGTAAAAAAACAGTAATAAGATTCAGTAATCACATACTTCCAACAAGAATTTGAAATAGTTTCAAAAAGGAGGGAAATAAGTTACAACAGGTCTATGATCAAATAAAACACCAAATCTAATTTCCTTTAAGAGAAAACACTTCAGTACTTTTGCTCCCTTCCAAAAACCATATGTCAAATACACACTGGAGTCTTCTCCTAGCTTCTTAATAACTTTAACCTAGGCCAGAGGACTATATAATATGACAAAATACTATTTGAAAATCCACTTGGTTTCCAGGGTT